GGGGACGCAAAGATTTCATCCGTATAGCATGGCTTTACATCCAAAGGCAGATACATTAATTCATCGGTCATCAAGTATAAACGCCCCAGCTCCAATATCATCTCAGGGGCGTAGGAAGATGCAAGTTCCAGAACCTCTCTCTGATTGGCTGGTTGGCTATTTCCACCCAGAGAGTAGTCCAGCCGAAGAGTATCTCTGGAGTGCAAAATTTTTTGGTCATTCTTCAGTATCCCAGTTGACTTACACGTTAGTCTACCTATTGGGAAAAATTTTGTGCATTCGATCTGGAGCAGAGTTGCGTGCCATGCATCTCTGGAACACTCTCAAGTTGTTTCCCATTCACAAACTTCCGCAGCATAATGAGAAAGTTGTTATGAAGTACGAATTGCATTACACTCTACCGCCTGCTCCTCCTGTACCTCCTCCGGTGTTATACGAGAACAGCAAAAGACTCCTATCACTTAGAGAACGCGCTAGGGACAATCGGTTTATTGTCATACTGGATCATATTCTTGTCAAAACGCAGAAAGGTTTTGTGATTAAGCACAGTGCTAAAAATAACCATCAAAGGTGTTTGGTCTGTTTGCACGCCTTGCTTTTGCAGAGACGAAGCTGGTAAGTCATCCTACGGTCACAGTTTTGTTTGCTTACTTTACTGGGAGTGGGGGAAGAAGCAGTAGTCCTGAACTGACTCCCATGTCCATGCAGCTCGAAACGCGCCTTGAGGGTGGATGACTACTTTCTCTCATGGGCGGACAGTTCACCCTCATCGAGGTTCCTCATCGATCCTCTCAGCGATGTAGCCCTTGGCACAATTGTTCACGATATTCGGGTGATTTTGACGAGCCTTCAGAAGTACTTGCATCGTGGATCTTTGCCTCCGGAGACCGATTTGTGGAATCACTTTGTCCATGACCAGCAATTTAGGGCGAACTCATCACAGCAGCTTAGACCGATGGTAGTTGAGCATGGAGAGGAGTGTAATATTCCACTGGATCTGAGTGTTCGAGGACGAGGTAAACGAGTTCATTGGTGTTGGGAGCCTTAATTTCCACCCTCAAGTCCGCGTTCTCCTCCTACTTCTCCTCCCTTTTTCTCCCCTTCGTGTGAATGTGTGTGTGTGTCTTCAAACCAGTCTGATTAGGCTTCCTTTTTGCCCTTTTGCCACTTTAGCCCATCCCAAATGCCTCGACTTTTGGCCAGAAGTTGCCGAGCGTGCAAGAAACGGAGCTTGGCAATGTGCTGATTGCAAATCCTGCAGCGTCTGCAAAAACAAGAGAGGAGAGGTGAGATTTTACGTTTACTTCCAATTGCCAGCTCCTCTAACGCACAGCCTCAATGCGGCGTCATCATTTATTATTAAGGAAAAGGATAGAGGCAGGGGAGACATTGATAATCCAACTCGGTTTGATCCCCCTTAGCCATGGTGCGGAGGTTGCCAGTCCATCTGCTGAGGCGACTTTAGATGGTTGTTTTGTGTCTTACATAGTCGCGTCCCTTCAAATGGGGCTGTTAGGCCCTCATAAATACTACCCCTTTGACCCGATAATTACGAGTGTCCTTTTATTGTCTTGCGTAGGCAGTGATCTAGTGAATGTTCTAATTGTCAATATAACTGTATATTGTAATAAAAGAGATTGTTTTTGGGTGCATCCTTCTAGAGTGTGATCTTAATATGCGACGCGTGTGACAAGGGTTACCATAGCAATTGTCACAGTCCAGTTGTGTTGGAGAAGAGCACGGATCCAACCATGCCTTGGATTTGTTCTGAGTGCAAAGCTGAAGGTTGTTGTGCCCGCGTTGGGAATGTTTCCACCTCTGCCCCTGTGTCTACACCATCTTCAGCTGATTCGGGAGTGTCTTCTCTCGTCATTTCGACGTCGGAAGGTGTTACGAACGCGTCTTCTGTGAATTCTAAGCCAGACCAGCCTCCTTCCACAATGATGGCTACTGGTACAACTGGTTCCATAAAGGTTCCGTCGCCCGAGCCGATTGAGTACGTATCTTTTACACCTTTCTACATCATTACGTAATAACAAAGGAATTGTTAATTGACATCCTGGTTTAGGGTTGACACGGTCCACATAAAGAATGAAGTCCATTAAAGGGATTTGCCTTGGTTGTCTGATCTACAAACTGATAGAAGCTGTAGTAGAATTTGCACCTTACTTAAAGGACTCCATACTTTCCATTAGTCGTAAATGCAACTTAAAATAAGTGTAAAATAATTTGTCCGAACTCGTACTCGTCTATGTGGATATAGG